GCTAAAGTTGGTGGGATGCTAAAGTTGGTGGGAAGCCAAAGTTGGCGGGAAGCTAAAGTTGGTGGGATGCTAAAGTTGGCGGGATGCTAAAGTTGGTGGGATGCTAAAGTTGGCGGGAAGCTAAAGTTGGTGGGAAGCCAAAGTTGGCGGGAAGCTAAAGTTGGTGGGAAGCTAAAGTTGGCGGGATGCTAAAGTTGGTGGGATGCTAAAGTTGGCGGGAAGCTAAAGTTGGTGTGATGCTAAAGTTGGTGGGAAGCTAAAGTTGGTGTGATGCTAAAGTTGGTGGGAAGCTAAAGTTGGTGGGATGCTAAAGTTGGTGGGAAGCCAAAGTTGGCGGGAAGCTAAAGTTGGTGGGAAGCTAAAGTTGGCGGGATGCTAAAGTTGGTGGGATGCTAAAGTTGGCGGGAAGCTAAAGTTGGTGTGATGCTAAAGTTGGTGGGAAGCTAAAGTTGGCGGGATGCTAAAGTTGGTTGGGATGCTAAAGTTGGTGGGATGCTAAAGTTGGTTGGGATGCTAAAGTTGGTGGGATGCTAAAGTTGGTGGGATGCTAAAGTTGGTGGGAAGCTAAAGTTGGCGGGATGCTAAAGTTGGTGGGATGCTAAAGTTGGCGGGATGCTAAAGTTGGTGGGATGCTAAAGTTGGTGGGAAGCTAAAGTTGGTGTGATGCTAAAGTTGGTTGGGATGCTAAAGTTGGTGGGATGCTAAAGTTGGTGGGATGCTAAAGTTGGCGGGAAGCTAAAGTTGGTGTGATGCTAAAGTTGGTGGGAAGCTAAAGTTGGTGTGATGCTAAAGTTGGCGGGAAGCTAAAGTTGGTGGGATGCTAAAGTTGGCGGGATGCTAAAGTTGGTGTGATGCTAAAGTTGGCGGGAAGCTAAAGTTGGTGGGAAGCCAAAGTTGGCGGGAAGCTAAAGTTGGTGGGAAGCTAAAGTTGGCGGGATGCTAAAGTTGGTGGGATGCTAAAGTTGGCGGGATGCTAAAGTTGGTGGGATGCTAAAGTTGGTGGGAAGCCAAAGTTGGCGGGAAGCTAAAGTTGGTGGGAAGCTAAAGTTGGCGGGATGCTAAAGTTGGTGGGATGCTAAAGTTGGTGGGATGCTAAAGTTGGTGGGAAGCTAAAGTTGGTGGGAAGCTAAAGTTGGCGGGAAGCTAAAGTTGGTGGGAAGCTAAAGTTGGTGTGATGCTAAAGTTGGTGGGAAGCTAAAGTTGGTGGGATGCTAAAGTTGGTGGGAAGCCAAAGTTGGCGGGAAGCTAAAGTTGGTGGGATGCTAAAGTTGGCGGGATGCTAAAGTTGGTGGGATGCTAAAGTTGGCGGGAAGCTAAAGTTGGTGGGAAGCCAAAGTTGGCGGGAAGCTAAAGTTGGTGGGAAGCTAAAGTTGGCGGGATGCTAAAGTTGGTGGGATGCTAAAGTTGGCGGGAAGCTAAAGTTGGTGTGATGCTAAAGTTGGTGGGAAGCTAAAGTTGGTGTGATGCTAAAGTTGGTGGGAAGCTAAAGTTGGTGGGATGCTAAAGTTGGTGGGAAGCCAAAGTTGGCGGGAAGCTAAAGTTGGTGGGAAGCTAAAGTTGGCGGGATGCTAAAGTTGGTGGGATGCTAAAGTTGGCGGGAAGCTAAAGTTGGTGTGATGCTAAAGTTGGTGGGAAGCTAAAGTTGGTGTGATGCTAAAGTTGGTGGGAAGCTAAAGTTGGTGGGATGCTAAAGTTGGTGGGAAGCCAAAGTTGGCGGGAAGCTAAAGTTGGTGGGATGCTAAAGTTGGTGGGAAGCTAAAGTTGGTGGGATGCTAAAGTTGGTGGGAAGCCAAAGTTGGCGGGAAGCTAAAGTTGGTGGGATGCTAAAGTTGGTGGGAAGCTAAAGTTGGTGGGAAGCTAAAGTTGGTGTGATGCTAAAGTTGGTGGGAAGCTAAAGTTGGTGTGATGCTAAAGTTGGTGGGATGCTAAAGTTGGCGGGATGCTAAAGTTGGTGGGAAGCTAAAGTTGGTGGGAAGCTAAAGTTGGCGGGAAGCTAAAGTTGGTGGGAAGCTAAAGTTGGCGGGAAGCTAAAGTTGGCGGGAAGCTAAAGTTGGTGGGATGCTAAAGTTGATGGGAAGCTAAAGTTGGCGGAAAAAACGTATTGGTTTGTAAGGTGTATATGGGAGACGTGCCTCATCTTTTATATGCATCGTGTCAAACAGAAAAAGAGCTACATAAACCAATCATAATCCGACGAAGTGGTGAAAAGGACTAGACTGGTGGAAATTGTTTCAAACTCATCAATGCTTGTATGTATTGAGAACATCAACAAGACTTTTGACATAACTGGCATGAAATACTCCTTTTTATGATTCCATATTGTACGTATATCTTCACCATTCTAACAGTCCATTAAAGGCAACTGAGAAGAAACGCATTCTGTCAGCAGTCACCAAAAGCTTTTTGTCTGTTTGTACTGAAGGTGTCTGTCATGCTCTTTTGTCCCTGTCTCGTGATTCAAGCAAGGCTTGCAGAAAGTTAATAATCAAATAATGAAATGTTCAAATGAGACAGCCATCGAGGTACACTTTACAATGCACATGAGCTCGTTTGATTGCTAAAGCTGGCAGAGGATGTTTGAACATTCTTTCCTTCACCAACGGACCCTTTTATCCTCTTAACTATCATCCATGTTCCACTATGGCGCCTTCATGTCATCTTGGCAGTGGAGTTCAACATTTCTGCAACAGCACTGAGCTACAATATGAAGCTGTCTCAACAGAGCTTAGATTTCATTACTGCTGCATAGAATTCATACCGCTACAATCTCGTTTAAGTATTATGATTTCAGTAATCTCTTTGAGGTGTACAGTGTGTAAACGACTCATTTTCCTCTTATTTCCTGTTCACTAGGGCGGTATTCATGCAGTGATCAAATTAGAACAGCACTAGTACATAGACTGTCAACAGAGCTGTTTATGTAGCTGCATGTTAACCCGTCTACAATCCGTTTAAGCTTAGATTCAGTATCCTAGGTGCCCAGTGTAGCCATCATGTTATTTAGCCACTAGGGCTCAGTTAGGTGTAGTCAGTGTACCAGTGTAGCCAGTGTAGCCCAGTGTAGTCCAGTTTGTAGCCCAGTGTAGTCCAGTGTAGCCCAGTGTAGCCCAGTTTGTAGCCCAGTTTGTAGCCAGTGTAGTCCAGTGTAGCCCAGTGTAGCCAGTGTAGCCCAGTTGTAGCCCAGTGTAGTCCAGTGTAGCCCAGTGTAGCCAGTGTAGCCCAGTGTAGTCCAGTGTAGCCCAGTGTAGTCCAGTGTAGCCCAGTTTGTAGCCCAGTGTAGTCCAGTGTAGCCCAGTGTAGTCCAGTGTAGCCCAGTGTAGTTCCAGTGTAGCCCAGTGTAGTCCAGTGTAGCCAGGTAGCCCAGTTTGTAGCCCAGTTTGTAGCCCAGTGTAGTCCAGTGTAGCCCAGTGTAGCCAGTGTAGCCCAGTTGTAGTCCAGTGTAGCCCAGTGTAGTCCAGTGTAGCCCAGTTTGTAGCCCAGTGTAGCCCAGTGTAGTCAGTTAGCCCAGTTGTAGCCCAGTGTAGCCCAGTGTAGCCAGTTAGCCCAGTGTAGTCCAGTGTAGCCCAGTTTGTAGCCCAGTGTAGCCCAGTGTAGCCCAGTTGTTAGCCCAGTGTAGTCCCAGTGTAGCCCAGTGTAGTCCAGTGTAGCCCAGTTGTAGCCAGTGTAGCCAGTGTAGCCAGTGTAGCCCAGTGTAGCCGTGTAGCCCAGTGTAGTCCAGTGTAGCCCAGTGTAGTCCAGTGTAGCCCAGTGTAGTCCAGTGTAGCCCAGTGTAGCCCAGTGTAGTCCCAGTGTGTAGCCAGTGTAGCGGTAGTCCAGTGTAGTCCAGTGTAGCCCAGTGTAGCCCAGTGTAGCCCAGTGTAGCAGTGTAGTCCAGTGTAGCCAGTGTAGCCCAGTGTAGCCCAGTGTAGCCATGTAGCCAGTGTAGCACGGTCCAGTGTGCCCATGTAGTCCAGTGTATGCAGTAGCCCAGTGTAGCCCATTTGTAGCCCAGTGTAGTCCAGTGTAGTCCAGTGTAGTCCAGTGTAGCCCAGTGTAGCCCAGTGTAGCCCAGTGTAGCCCAGTGTAGCCCAGTGTAGCCCAGTGTAGTCCAGTGTAGTCCAGTGTAGTCCAGTGTAGCCCAGTGTAGCCCAGTGTAGCCCAGTGTAGTCCAGTGTAGCCCAGTGTAGCCCAGTTTGTAGCCCAGTGTAGTCCAGTGTAGCCCAGTGTAGTCCAGTGTAGCCCAGTGTAGTCCAGTGTAGCCCAGTGTAGTCCAGTGTAGCCCAGTGTAGTCCAGTGTAGCCCAGTGTAGCCCAGTGTAGCCCAGTTTGTAGCCCAGTGTAGTCCAGTGTAGCCCAGTGTAGTCCAGTGTAGCCCAGTGTATCCCAGTGTAGCCCAGTGTAGTCCAGTGTAGCCCAGTGTAGCCCAGTGTAGCCCAGTGTAGCCCAGTGTAGTCCAGTGTAGCCCAGTGTAGTCCAGTGTAGCCCAGTGTATCCCAGTGTAGCCCAGTGTAGTCCAGTGTAGCCCAGTGTAGCCCAGTGTAGTCCAGTGTAGCCCAGTGTAGTCCAGTGTAGCCCAGTGTAGCCCAGTGTAGTCCAGTGTAGCCCAGTGTAGCCCAGTGTAGTCCAGTGTAGCCCAGTGTAGTCCAGTGTAGCCCAGTGTAGCCCAGTGTAGTCCAGTGTAGTCCAGTGTAGCCCAGTGTAGCCCAGTGTAGTCCAGTGTAGCCCAGTGTAGCCCAGTGTAGCCCAGTTTGTAGCGCAGTCAAAGCTATTCGCTGCTCTGGCACCCCAATGGTGGAACAAGCTCACCCATGACGCCAGGACAGCAGAGTCACTGACCACCTTCCGGAGACACTTGAAACCCTACCTCTTTAAGGAATACCTGGAATAGTCTAACAGTAATCCTTCTACATCCCCCCCTCCCCCAGTGGTGGTTGTCCCACTGGCTATCCTAAGTTGAATGCACCAATTTGTAAGTCGCTCTGGATAAGAGCGTCTGCTAAATGACTTAAATGTAAATGTAGGGTCATGTTGGCTTGGTGCAGTGATTGGGAAAACAAGGGTCTGATGCAAGGGTCTGTTAAGCGTCTTCAAGATGTCAGAGAGATAGCTTCCACTCACCCTGGTCGAGAGGCTGGCCATTAACTGCTGTGGCTTTCATCTTGAGGGCCTCCCTGGCAGACGTGTCGCAGGCGGAGCCTTTATTAGTATCCAGGTCACTATCAGCCTGGTCACTATCACCATGGCCACTGTCTCGGAGGCTCGCTCGCTCTGCATCCTTAAACGTTGAGCTGCTGCAGGATGGGGAGAGAAACATTCAATAAAAAAATATCTCATTGGTGGTGTCTGTCTGTCTGTCTGTCTGTCTGTCTGTCTGTCTGTCTGTCTGTCTGTCTGTCTGTCTGTCTGCCTGCCTGCCTGTCTGTCTGTCTGTCTGTCTGTCTGTCTGTCTGTCTGTCTGTCTGCCTGTCTGCCTGTCTTGTGATCGCACCTGAGCCCTTTTTGACATGCTTGGCCTGATGCCTTGATATTGACTACAACGTAAATTCAGGTGGTTAGGTAGTTATCATTTAGTGACCTTACCTTTGAGCAAATGGCTGCCTGTTGGCCGCGTTATTGGGCTCCGAGGGGAAATTATCCGTCTGAGAATAAAACCAGAGATAATTATTCGTTTATCGTGCTCCAGAAATTTGTTTTCCATTGATGTGTGCAACAGAATATATTTACAACATGAGATATTCAAAGGACATGTCCATAGCTATGGCTTGGCCTGCATTCCGATCTGTCCATTTGAATCATTTAGGAATACATGAAACATGTTAATAAAAAGAAAATAATCAAATCCCCTTCATGTCCATACTGTATGTGGCTGTGAGCAGTAACGCATCAGCCACTGTCATCTGCATCCACGTTTTTACTCATCATGAGAATATTGTGTTTGTGTTGATCACATGCCCTTGCAACTTGCCCTAGCAACATGCCCTAGCAACAGACCTTGTCATCAGTGTTATCATCTCGGAGACTGTCCTAGATATTTACATCATTAACAACCCGAAAAATACTGATGTGCTGAATAAAATTACATGCATTCCCTGTCAATTGAATATGCTGGCTTGCATAAGCAACCCTGTCATTTTGTACAAGGCAGATCTGGACCCTAGTAAAGGCCTTATCTTGCCAACATTGGATTTGGATTTGTGGAACTGGCCCATGTTTGTGGAGGGCAATAAATGGGATTGTAAGGTTATGCTGTGTGCATCTAGCTGTCTGGCACATAACATTTTACTAACGTGATCAGACAAGCTGTTGTCCAAGCCCAGATTTCAGGCAGGGTTTTGTTTTCCCAGGCGGATTTGGCAGTGACAGCACAGCAGCGCAGTCCAAGACTCACATGGTTTGCATATCTTAACAGAAATGAGTTTCTGATTATTCAGACCACCTGTAAGTTGCTGCTAGAAGTGACTCATAATGGGCCAATTTCAAAATTGTTAGGATCTCTGTGGAGGAGAAGTAGATTGCAAACAGTCTACCAACATATATTTTAATATATTTCTTCAATATGCTTGTAGCGTATTATCCTGTATCGGCTGCATTTTTGAGTCCTTCAATTGGCAAAACCTCCCGAGTTGTGCAGTGGTCTAAGGCACTGCATCGCAGTGCTAGCTGTGCCACTAGAGATCCTGGTTCGAATCCAGGCTCTGTTGTAGCAGGCCACGACCGGGAGACCCATGGGGCGGCACACAATTGGCCCAGCGTCGTCCAGGGTAGGGGAGGGAATGGCCGGCAGGGATGTAGCTCAGTTGGTAGAGCATGGCGTTTGCGACGCCAGGGTTGTGGGTTCGATTCCCATGGGGGGCCAGTATGAAAAATAAAAAAATTATGTATGCACTCACTAACTGTAAGTTGCTCTGGATAAGAGTGTCTGCAAAATGACTAAAATGATAACAAGGAAGTTTGATTGCATGGTGCCTGTGGGTATTGCTTTGAAGAATTACCTCTCTTGTGGCAGATTAGAATACCATGAACGGAGATAAGGTAGAATAAAAGGCTGACAGAAATACAACTCAATGACTCTGTTTCTTACCTGTATCACTGACATTCTCTTCATAGGAGTCTCTGTGGTAAGCCCCGCAAAGCTTGAGTGACAGCCAGCCCGAGGTACCGTCAGGCTGTTGAAAGTGGTTTTCAGATACATGACCTCTGACCTGGGCAGCGTGAGAGGCAGGGGGCTGGTCGCTTGGTAGTGGAAACAGATGGGCGAGGAGATGAGAGACGGGCTGCTCACCACGTTCATCCTGCTCACAGAGTCCCTCTCCTCCATCTCGCTCTGCACCAGCATGATGTCGCTCTTGTTGATCCTCTTCTTCTTGCCGTTTCCAACCGGGGGATTGGAGTTGGGGTACTCGGCCATACGGCAGTTATAATTCCCAGCCTCCTTATCATGATGCTTGGACTTAAAAGCGATGGTAGTCATGACAGCCAGGAGCATGAGGGAGATGATGCAGAGGGTTATGATGAGGGGCAGGGACATGTCCCAGCGCTGCTGCTCCTCACTGGCGCTGGACTCCCCTCCTGCCATGGCTCCTGTGATGGTCTTAATGATGAGCTTAGCCACGGCAGACAGCGGGGGCTTGCCATGATCGGTTACCTTCACTACCAGCTCCACGGCTGGGGCCACGTCCTCCCACACAGCATGGGCAGTCCTCACCTCGCCGGCCACGGGGTCCATCTCAAACAGGTGCTCCTCGTTACCCTCCCAGATCTCGTAGGTCAGACGACCGCTCTCACCGTGGTCCTGGTCAACTGCTCTCACCGTGGTCACTACGTACCCCAGGCCTACATTTCTAGGGACCATGATTTCCGCAGTGTCATTTAGCAGGAGGGGTAATACAATAACTGGTAGATTGTCATTAACGTCAAGCACACTGACCCTGACTGTAGCACTGCCCTCCATATGAGGAGACCCTGCGTCTTTAGCTTGAACTTTGAACTCAAAGAACTTTGTTTGTTCGTAGTTGAAAGACCTTGAGGCGTATATGGCTCCGTTGGTAGGATTGACAGACACGTAGGTGTAAACTGACACGTCTCCGATGTGCGACGGCAAAATGGAGTAGGACACAGTCCCATTCGGACCTATATCTGGATCATGAGCCAGAACTGAGCCCAAGTACTCCCCTGGGATGTTGTTCTCAGGCACCTGGAGCACGTAGACTGTCTTGGTGAAACGTGGCGCATTATCATTCTCATCTAATATTTTCACTGGAAATGATTTGGTGTAATTCAAGGAGGGTATTCCATTGTCTCTGGCCACTATGGTCACATTATATTCATCTTTCAGTTCCCTGTCTAGAGGTCTGTCTGTGAGCAGAGTGTAAAAATTATCATTGTTTTCCTGCAGCCTGAACGGTACATTGCCAAGCACCCTGCATTGGAGCTGGCCATTTCTCCCAGAATCCTTATCAGTGACTCTCACCAGGGCGATGACAGATTCTGGAGGCGCTGCCTCACTGATAGCTCCCTGGCGGACGGAAACAAAACTTATAACGGGCCAGTTATCATTCTTGTCAAGCACTTTGACTGAAATCTTACAATGGCCAGGGATGGGGTTAGGCCCCAGGTCCTTGGCCTGCACATCAAATTCAATGGTCGGACTATCCTCATAGTCAATTTCTCCTTGAATCTTAATGACACCTGTTTTGGGGTCAATAGAAAACAGCTCCTGGACTCTATCGGATGCATATCCACTGAAAGAATAGACTACCTGTCCATTGCTGCCCTCATCTTGGTCAGTTGCATTCAGATCTATCAGCATTCTTCCAGGCGGTGAGTTTTCAGGGAGCTCCAGCATGTAGGCAGGTTTGTCAAATACTGGGCTATTATCATTTGAATCAGTAACTCTCACATTGATTTGCATGGACCCTGATCTTGGATACTCGCCTCCATCAATGGCTGTCAAAAGGAGGGTGTGATGAGACTGATCCTCCCTATCTAGAGGGCGCTGAACCACCAATTCAGGATATATGGTTCCATCGCCCCTCAATTTCAAGTCCAAAGAAAATGTATTGTAATCATCTCTGGTGACCTGATAAGTCTTTATTCCGTTTTGCCCAGAATCTGAATCGTACGCAATTGTTAGAGGGAACCGTGTCCCAGCAGCTGCATTCTCTGAAATATCTATATTGATGTGATCTGAGGGGAAACTGGGTGAGTTGTCGTTTATATCCACTACATCAATCTTGATCATGCATATTTCCTTGTCGTTGGCAAACACTTCCATGGAGAGCTGACACTTGGGGTTGCGTCTGCACAATGTCTCCCTGTCAATACGCTGTTTGGTAAAAACCAGCCCACTCTCCGGATCCACATCAATGAGATGTGGAGCAGAATTCTCCAGAACTCTAAAGTTCGATTTTTTCCCTCTCTCCACCGGTCCAAATCCGGCATCCTTAGCAATGTTTCCGATAACAGTTCCAGGTCCCTGCTCCTCCGGAACGGAATAATTGAGATTTTTCAGTGTCCGTGCTTTAGCCCACAAGAGAAGGAAAAATAAGACAGGAAGACGCATATCCCTTTACTGTGTAGGATGCGCGTGCTTAAAAAATGTCCCTTTTAACTTCCAACCTGTTGATTTGTCCAGAAGCCACACTACGACTAAAATGACACGAGACAGGTCGTTTTGTATCCAAGACGACAGAGGATATTTAATCGATTTATGAGCCAGCCTTTTCCCTCTTTTACGCGGTTATTCTAACCTCCTTCACATTCCATATACAGCTATGATGAACTATTTCTGTAAACAAAGATGAACGCCCAATTTAACATGTGGCAGACGTGATTAACTTGTGCGGTGAATAAAATATATTCAGTAATTTTAAAGCGTTCATGATTTCCCTTGTTGCTAGAAGGTTACAACCGTTTGTACATCCCTCTATGCTGAAGGTTAGGCAGTACAAATGCGCAAAGCCCATGCGACATCTACACCTAGTTTACAGCAAAAGAATGAGATATTCATTCAACGACAAATTTTCCAGCGTAGTCGGCTAACATCTACACAGTATACTTTTACTGTGAGAGCTTGGCTACACACTGTTGCATACAGGTTATGAACATGTAGGCTGCATTAACTAACCCATAAAGTATCCTATAGCTGCAGATGCACCATTAAATACGCTCCTTCGGGACCACGTTTTACGTCCTTTCATTCACGAACATCTGGAGAGCGATAAGGACTTTTGCCCGATAATTGACCTATAATCAGTCCAGTAATCCCGTAATCCAGTCCAGTTGGACCTTGTACTCTTGCATCCTGCATTGATTCGGGGTAAGAACATCAACACTGATCCTTTAGAGGTTACAAAAATCCAACAAGTCAGATGCACAATGTTGTAGATTTCCCGATATGCTCAAAATTGCCCGTTTTTTTTTTTTTCTGTGTTCAATTCTCTGGTCACGTCAACAGTTGAAAACAGCTCTTGTCTTGGCATTGAGATCTGGTTACCACTAGAATCCTCAATACGCCCTACGCCGACTCTAGTTTATATCTTGGTGCATTTAACATGTTTCTGATCGTCTTCCAGCCAATGACTGAAATAGTGACAGATCCTGCCTTGGGGGTTTTCTCCAATAGGTCTGGCAAGTTCGCATTGAAGGAGGGCTGTTCCACTGGTACGTGACTCACTTACTGATGTGAGCGCACTGAGCAGAGAGCTGGAGATGAAAACGTGCTAGTGGATGTTCCTAATACATCTGGATGTGCAGGAGAGATAGTGTGTGTGAATAGGAATGAATATAGAAATACTGGTAAAACCCGCGAGGGTTTGGGTAGGGTGGTGACCCAGTGCATGACTTGGACTGAAATAGGTTCCGTTACTCATTTTGGGTGCTACATTTTTACATTTAGGTGCAGGAGTTCCACAATACTTTTAAACTAATATTCTATAAGAGGAACCAACCTGGTCTCAGAGCATTTCTTATTATTCTGTACGTAAATCCGAGATACTCAATTTAGTATGAGATGTTATGTTTCGTATTGTATGTATTAATTTGTGGATCTCAGTCATCCATTTCGTATGATATGTTTTACGAATTCCAATTTGTTGTTGCTAACGTTACCTGGGCTAGGGGTTAGGGTTAGGGGAAGGGTTAGCTAAAAGGGTTAGGGTTAGGGGAAGGGTTAGCTAACATCCTAAGTAATTGCAAAGTAGCTCAAAAATAGTAAGTAGTAGAAAAGTAGCTAATTAGCTAAAGTTGTCCGCGATGAGATTCGAACACGCAACCTTTGGGTTACTAGACGTTCACGTTATACGGCCACCCCAACCAACCACTCTCTTTTTGTTTTTGCCTTAAGCAACCTTCTGTCTTATGTAACCATACTAAACGTAACCATACTAAACGTAACATATCATGCTAATTCCCCACGCACCTCTCTGATCCAGAGGGGTTGGGTTAAATGCGGGAAGACACATTTCAGTTGAATGCATTCAGTTGTACAACTGACGAGGTATCCCCTTTTACCTTCCCTTTCCCTTAATTTGAGTGTCCCGGATTTACATTTTTAATATGTTACGTCTAGTCTATGAGACCAGGCTGGAGGAACAGGAGCTCAAGCAGTAGAACATTTGAGTTGCTGGTACTCAGGTGAGCTCCTACCCAATTCAAGCACTGGTCATACCAGAAAGAGCTCGTTAAAGGTGGTCAGTCCTGTTGAACCAGAAAGGCGGGTCATACCAGGGGCTGGTACCAGGCTACTGGGCTAGGCAATCAGAACAACAGCCCTTTGTTTTCTGACTGGTGAAATGCTTGCGGACATGATCACCCGAAATAACTTTTGTACAGCCTGTATCCAATACTCCCAATCCACCCAATTGTAATTTTTTATATTACCGTAATGACACATTTTGATTTGTTCTCATCTCCTTTCTCTGCAGGGTCTGACTGTGGATTCGTGATTCAAGAATACAAGCTTCACGTGGTTGTAGTGAGTCACTATAGATAGAAGTCTGACAAGAGGATCAAATTAAAGAAAAAGCAACATCACAGTGATGACGTAACACGTTCTCAATTCGTATAAGGGATTATTGGTCTATGTGGGGATGTGCTCTATATTCAGAGAATGTTTCCTATTTCATATCGTAAATATCACACTTGTTGTTCCACCTTTTCTATGCAATAGCCATAGTTATTATCACCGACAGATCCTGGGAAGATGAACTGACATTTCATCCACTCTTCTTTCCAATCAGGTGACATTTGCATTTGAATTCTCACCTGGCCAGAGCAGTGCAGTACCGGTCTCCTAGGTAATACAAAAGTATGCACCGACATGGTCTTTCTTAGAGGGAATAATGTCAGTTTAAGGTCAAGATCAGTATAGTTGCAGGTTCATCATTAAATTGCTTGTTTCTCCGGCTCTAAATCAACCTTGAGTCGTCCCCAGGTTAATTTATATTGTCTGGAACATGCTGCCGTCTTCCTCTAGGGAGCATCAACTTTGCCAGCCCAAGGTGCAGCCCGCATAAATTGGACATTTCTGCAGGTGAGAGATAAGAGCAAAAAAGCCAAGCTCTAATTATCATTCTGTCAGTAAAAAAAAAACCAGGAAAGGACTGCTATTGACAATACTATTGACACATTCATCCATTTTTCTTACTATTATCATAGATCCCTTTGAATGAATGTGAAGTTTAGATCCATAATGCATGCCTCTATCCTCCACGTGAGCCTGTCCATTTCCCAATTGTTTCTGTGGAGATTGAAGAGCCTGTGCCACGGTGAGAATCTTCCCCCCGAGCATATTGCTTTTCTTTCTGTTATAAACTTTCATCTGCATCTGTTTGTGGCATGAACACGTGGGTGCATTGATTGATTCACAGTCAAATGTGCGTTACGATGCCACTGCACATTTTGAGCTGCTGTAATACTGGAGAAGCCAGAATGACAAGTAGTGAACAGTAGGTACACAGCTTCGAGGATGAATACAATATTTAGCCGTCTCATTTATGAAATTCACTTTCCACCTTGTAACAGCGTGATTAGAGGGTGAGATTGAACTGTATATCAGCTCATATCTGAGTCACAGCCATCCTGTTTATCAGCTCGTGTCTGAGTCACAGCCTGCTTGTTTATCAGCTCATATCTGAGTCACAGCCTGCTTGTTTATCACCTCATATCTGAGTCACAGCCTGCCTGTTTATCACCTCATATCTGAGTCACAGCCTGCCTGTTTATCAGCTCATATCTGAGTCACAGCCTGCCTGTTTATCACCTCATATCTGAGTCACAGCCTGCCTGTTTATCACCTCATATCTGAGTTACAGCCTGCCTGTTTATCAGCTCATATCTGAGTCACAGCCTGCCTGTTTATCACCTCATATCTGAGTGACAGCCTGCCTGTTTATCACCTCATATCTGAGTCACAGCCTGCCTGTTTATCACCTCATATCTGAGTCACAGCCTGCCTGTTTATCACCTCATATCTGAGTCACAGCCTGCCTGTTTATCAGCTCATATCTGAGTCACAGCCTGCCTGTTTATCACCTCATATCTGAGTGACAGCCTACCTGTTTATCACCTCATATCTGAGTCACAGCCTGCCTGTTTATCACCTCATATCTGAGTCACAGCCTGCCTGTTTATCAGCTCATATCTGAGTCACAGCCTGCCTGTTTATCACCTCATATCTGAGTTACAGCCTGCCTGTTTATCAGCTCATATCTGAGTCACAGCCTGCCTGTTTATCACCTCATATCTGAGTCACAGCCTGCCTGTTTATCAGCTCATATCTGAGTCACAGCCTGCCTGTTTATCACCTCATATCTGAGTGACAGCCTACCTGTTTATCACCTCATATCTGAGTCACAGCCTGCCTGTTTATCACCTCATATCTGAGTCACAGCCTGCCTGTTTATCACCTCATATCTGAGTCACAGCCTGCCTGTTTATCAGCTCATATCTGAGTCACAGCCTGCCTGTATTTCAGCTCATCGCCTCCAAGAAATACCTCCAAAACACCAAGTTAATGAATGTGTAGTAGTTACAGATTTGGTACAAGGCATCACAGAAAGCATTTCACGTCTGAACCACGATAATGCGCGGTGTTGGAACACAGACTTTGGTCAGGTAAGTCAATGGGGACCAGCTCTCTGTTTACCACGGACAATGTGCCTTCAAAGACCTAATGCAATTATACGCTCTGAACAATGCAAATTAACTGCTTATCAATCAATTCTTTTCAAGGAACACCAGTGGAGAATCCTGCACGTTTTTCAGACGGGGTATTCTAAGCCCGTCCAATACCCTCCACGAGTGCTGTATGATAGTAGAGGAACTTGTTGTATAACCGTCAGCATTTTAATGTCTCTTGAGCCATTGTGTAGATGTAATAAATTAAAATCCTTTGTAGATGAAAGTGCTCTTGATATGGTCAAGTATGAGAGCATTTCCCCTACTGTACACCCCTGAGCCGGACAACAGCTGGGTACAGTTTCTCTTATACCTGTGTAGTGATGCTGTAATCACAGTAGAGGAACAACATTGTTCCTTAGGGTTAGGAGAAAATAATAAAGG